GTCTCTTTCGTCCTGTGGCAAAATGGTAGAGCGACTCAAAAGATTGAACCTTGAGTCTTTTTCTTCTAATAGTTAGATTTTGGCAAAATGCGCCAAAATGGCTATGAGGCGGAGTCAATATTATTATTTTTTTCTCATCAAATAACGTTTTTGCCATGCCTCCACACACTCTGACAACATACACTCCTCCTCCTCCACACTGACAACAACAAAATACTCTTCACCTCCTCCTCCACACACTCTGACCACAACAAAAACACTCCAGCTAGCTAAAGCTAGACATACAGTGTGTTTGCTAATGCTTTTAAAAATATGTTTTTGATGTGGATATTCGGACTAAACATTGGCAATAGCAGCGCTCACACACCTGTCACACCGCTGATCCTCCTCCTCCTCCTCTGCTCACACAAAGGGGTCTGCTCCTCTGCTCACACCTGTCTCACTGCTCCTCCTCCGCGAGTATCCATCTCTCCTACACTGCGATCATTCCCGTTACTTTCTTTGTATCTCACTCAGACACTGCTAAAGTTATCTGACAGTTTTTTCGGAGGACCCGCTGCATACATAGCTGCCCGCGCGCCTGCCTGTTTACAAATCGCTTTTGGTGAAAATTTGACTTTACTTGTAAAAATGTTCTTTTGATCAAACGAAATCAAAGAGGTCCAGAGAAAGGGGTTTAGGGTTCCAAATTTGGAGTGCAGTCTGCCCTTTGGGGACCCTTGAACTAGTGTATTTATAAAATAAAATAAAAGGAAGGAAGATTGCGAGGCCCCTGTGTGGTGCGAGGCCCTGTGCGACGGCACAGGTCGCACAGCCCTTAGGACGGGCCTGATTGTAATATCCATAAATGCTAACACCTATTAACGGTTTAATTAGCATTTTTATCAATGATTGCATCACGTGTAGTTATCATGTTAGCTCTTGTGTCTATGTTTTCAACTTCTGCAGCTTTTTGTTCATAAAAGCAATATATTTATTTAATTCAACTTATTTTGATTAGCTTTTTTTTTTTTTTAAATCGAGTTTTGTAAATGCAACAACAAACACACACAGAACAATAATAACTGGCAGACTGAGTGCTAAAATAGACATCATATTTTAGTTTTTTTTATCGTTTACCCTGTATTTTTTATGCTAAACCGTAAGTGGCTTCATTCTCTAGAATTGTTTAGAATTAAAATGTATGTGAATAAATATAGTGGCCAAGTATGTGAAACAAAAAGTCATAATTGTTAACAATTTACACATTAATGATATTTTGATGTCCAATCTGGGAAGTAATCTAATGTAAAAAGTGGTAAACACCAGACTTGACAAAACAAAAAACTTTCAATGCATGAAGATCAATCGTCTTATCATATTTCTACAATGTAATCCACTTATCTTTCCCACACCCCTCCCTCCTTGTCTGGTGTGTGCGCTTGCATGTACTTTATCGGCTTTACCCTTTTCGCAGTACAGCTATCAGATCATCACTTGTAGCTTACCCACTGAGAGAAAGAGAAAGAAAGAGGCTGCTCATCTTCCCTCCCCAAAACGCAGCCAAAGAACAGAGCAAGTTTGAGTAAGCTTTAACACATAACAGATGACCTTGGAGATTTCAGGCCGCCAAAAGCACCAAGTGAAGAATTGTCTCCATCAAGAATATGAGCTCCCCTTTCTGCTGTTGTGTGTCGGGGCTGGCACAGGGGAGGCTGTAGTTAAGGGGGAGAAATCTGACAGTGCAGCCAAAGTGTGAGGGCGGCTTCTGATTCCACTATATGAGCAGTGAAAAGGAGGTTGTAATAGGTAGATAATTGGTTCCCGGTGTGTGCCTCTCTGACCTCCTGTGTCTAAGCCGGAGTGTGTTTAGAGTGCGTCTTTGGTCTGGTCTCGTGAGGGCGGGTTGACTTATAGTACTGCATCTATCCATCGTGCTCATTAGCATACGGGTTTGCTTTGATTAGCATTTCTATTAATATGGAAATGCTGCAGCCCTACATAGAGGCTGAGCCAAGCTAGCTCTGTCCTGTACACTTCCCATCTCCCGCACATTATTAATCGAGAGGGTTTAGATAGTTCCACTAAGAAGATTTGAGTCCCGGGTAAATTGGTTTTGAAGGCTGAAGAGGTGAAATAAGCCATATTGTCATTATGGACCACATGTATTACCGACATTGTTATTAGAGGATTTGAATATTGAATGTACATATGTTAGAAGTGGGTTAAATTGGTAATGTCTAAGGTGAAGTGGAGAAATTCAGGTTTATATAGTGAATTTGAGAATGAACATGCATGAATGTGGTTAGTGATTTTATGTCAAGAATATGTTCGATTTAGCAAATGTTTGTATGTCTGAAATCAGTTTCTTCACAGACATTGGTTAATACAGTACTCCTCTCATGTGACAGAGCTCCGCACCCTATCTCTACTGTACCGCCTAGGCCTTCTGCGGAAAAAACTCATTTGGATCGTTTCCTGACAGCTCGTTGTCTGTTTTTTTCAGGTCTTGTTGATCCACGAGTTGTCTTGAATAATTTGTTTGAAAAAGTTCATCAGAAAGTTTCACAAGATTCTCCTCAACCGATGTATAAACATTCTAAGAAGAAGAAGAAGAAGACTACCACACTCCTTATAGGCAAAGTGGGTTAAGTGTCTTGCCCGAGGACACAACGACATCAGTGGAAGTCGGTGAAGAAGGTCTCGTGGTGGGCCCGAACCCATTACCTTCAGGCTCAAAGGCCAATGCTCTACCGACTGAGCCACTGTGGCCCCAACAGGACATACCCATGCCATTAGTCCTGTATTTACACCTTTCTGTCTGTTTTTAGAATTTTTAAAAGTCTGTTGACAAAGCGGGACGCCATTCCTTTACGATGCCATTATTTCAAGGTTTCACAGTTGGATATAGTTGTTAAGTCCCACTTTAAGTCTGTAGGTGCCTCATTATTGGCCTGTGTCCTGGTACAGATCTGAGTAAGCTGAACAGAGACAGCACTGAGCTCTCAAATCCCCCGCAGATAGTCTCCACTGATAAACATGACACCGCTGAAAATCCACTGAAATAACACATAGGGGAGCTTACATAGATTTATAATGCTGTTATCGCCAAAACCAGCTTCAATTGGGCCGGGTTTTCAGCAGGACTACTGTTTTAGAGAATGAACAGTAGATATGGACAATACTGTAGATTTACTGTTGTTTGGATTGCAGTGTAGTCCTGGTTTATACCTAGTTTAGTCTGAGTGAATACAGCCATGACATTTTGTCCCTAACCGTTGCATGCTCTGCCCGATTACAATTCTGCATTAAAAATAGAGTAGTACAACTCAATGTGTTAAATATTCAGATCCAAATAATTTTTTTAAGGAGCAGAATTGCCTGTGATAGTAAGAATCTAACGCATTGCTTAACTCATGTCAAATTAAAACGCTTATTCCACTACAAAAACAAAGTGACCCTTTCTTTGGCTTTCACCTTTTTGCTGTTGCATGTCTTGGTGCGTGAAAGAAACATTTCAATACCTGCCTCTTAAAGGTATGATGTTTGGTCTACAGGATCAGAAAACTCTCACACAGAACACATATTTACAAACGGAAGATTTTACTATAGAAAAGATCAGTTTTGAATGAATAAAAGTCATATTATCCTGCTCGGAAAATGACTTCAATGTGAACTTTGTTGAAGTGGTGAATGTGTCGGTTGTGGCTATATGTGGGTGTAAAATAAGGCTACATATAAGTCCCATGTATTATTTTTATTATAAATATTTAGTTTTTAACTCTTTCTTAATCTGGGGCGACAGTAGCTCAGTTGGTAGAGCATTGGCCTCTGTTGTGTCCTTAGGCAAGACACTTCACCCCCATTGCCTAGAATGAGTCTGGTGTGTGTGTGAATGGTTGGTGGTGGTGGGAGGGGCCGATGGCACAGACTGGTTGCCTCGCTTCTGTCAGTGTGCCCCAGGGCACCTGTGGTTACAGAAGTAGTTTATCACCACTGTGTATGGAGTGAATGAATAATGACATGTAAAGCGTCTCTGAGTGTCCAAAAAAGCACTATATAAAACCAATGCATTATTACTAATCTGTCAAAAACTGTAGCCATTGTTTCTCTCAGAGCTGAACAGATGTGTTGCAAAAATCAGTTTGGTTATAAAGAGTTCACTTACAGCCTTTAAAGAGTGTTTTTATTCGCTGACAGAAATGCAGTACAGCGATTGTGGCTAGCTCTGTCAGGCTAAATAATTCACATCTAAGAAATTTATGATAAAGTGAGGAATAACTCAAATTTACACATTTTAAGACACTAAAGGCCTCATTTATCACCCCAGGTGCTAAACTGCAGGTGCCGAGTAAAACAGTGCGGGCAATGTTTTTGGGTTATGTCTACGGGACTTGTGCTTTCTAAATCAGTGTGTTTCCTTTTTAAAGATGTTTATTACTTTTGCGTGTGACTAAATGTTGGATGCATGAAGCAAAAGCTATTCTTGGATATACAGTGAAGCAGGTGTCTATGTCCCGAACTCATGCACAAGACAATAGGTGTAAATTAGGAGCTCATAGAGGTGTTCAATATTTCTCAAACCAGGTGTGAAACTGCCTGTGGAGAGTTGACATAACAATATTTCAAAGACAATTGTGGTGGAGGTGGAATTGAAAAGTCTTCCTGATAACTATTGTAAAGGTCAAAATACTTCTTGGATTAGATTAGAGCTTGTTTGTGATAAGATTAAGATTAGGAGATTCTTTATTCGTCCCATTGTGGGTAAATTTCAGTGCTGCATCAAGTTATAGAACAGTAGGAAAGAGGAGCACACAGCACAAGATAAGTGAACAATAGCTCTAATAATTAAAATACAATAAAATCTGTAAATCTTGCATCAATAACAATTATAACATTTATATCTTGACAATAATTATAATAAAAATAAGTGTAAAAGTTTTAATTCCTGTGCCAATTTACATGTACCATAATGTGCTTTTTATAACTTTTACATGTTTTGATCTTTCTTCCATTCGCAGCTCAATGAAACGGCCAAGCAGCTCATGGAAATCGACAAACCCGCCACGACGAGCGCCCCTGGTCCCAGCTCTGAACCTTCAACCCTGGGCTCCTGTTCGTCTGGCCCCTCCCCCTGCGCCTCACCGTCCAATGGGAACGGCTCCGGCCCACGGCGAGGGGAGGGCAAAAAAAACGCCAAGAAGAGACATTCGTTTACAGCCCTGTCCGTCACTCAGAGAGCAGCACAACTCAACAACCGGCACAGTATGGAGATCTCCAACCCAGTGCTCATCAGCTCCTCGGACCCGAGAGCAGCCGCACGCATTCAGGTGACCGCAGGGTTACATTAGACTTTTAGAACTTGTAACTATGGCCGTGTTCAAGAAGTTGCTCGAAAAGTCTCAATATAGAATCAAATGCAAAAGTTCTCATTACCTTATTTGACATATTTCAAAGCAACATATCACCAAAAACAGTATTAATCAATTGGGTCAAGTGTGAATGCACCCTTTCTTTTTCTTTTTAAATATGCAGTTTCTGGATTTTTTTGTATCATAAAAATGCATTTAGTTTGTACCAACAGAAAGAGTCTTGTAATGATTAATTGTGAACAAATGCATCCACAACATGCTGTCTTTATCGTGCCCTGTGAGTCACAATTTGAGCTGATCTCTGATTGGCTGAGTGAGGGGGGTTTTCAGTCTGATGCCTGATCTAAGTATGAGACTCAGGCCAAAAAGAAAAGATAGACTTTATTGATCTCACACTGGAGAAATTTACTAAAAACATGAATGAGAAAACTAATAGAACCAAAGTGTTTTAGAGCCAGGAACTTTAGTTAGAATGATGTTTTTGTTTAGTGTTTTGTGGTTTGAAAGTTAGGTACCCCAGCTTTAACCACTTTTTCATGCCTTTTCCCTTTTCCCCTTTCAATATAATACTGTTACAAACATAGTCTTCCTAATTCACAATACTCTACTTACACAACAATTGTATCTTTGATTTATTTTGTGGTTTTTACAGTAGTACATGGAGGTTTCAGTGGCAATATCATAAAAAAGTGGTGTATATACTAAATCTACATCTTTCTACCATGAACTACAGCAATGTTTAGCTAGCATTGTCTAGTATTGCTTCACTTTGTTGTAATGTTAAACAAATGCTGTGGTTTTTGTTCAACATTGTGATGTCACACGTTACATTGAAAATGTCTTGTCACAGTTCTGTCCTTGTCCCAGGACAGAAAGGAAGGAGGAAAAGTAGAAGGAATTTTTTTATTTATTAATAATATAAAGGTCTTCAAATTACTTGTGTTTCGAGGACAATGAAATTATTGTTACTTACATATTTTGTGCGATCTAGAATATATTTCCACCTGATTTTCTTGCAAAAAATAAATGACACTGTTAATATTTCTAAAATGTTTCACACCTTTGATTTTGTGCTGCATCTGTTCAAATAGGCACAGATTACAAAGCCGCTCACAGCCTGAATATTCCAGCTCCCTGTCTACTTTATTTAAACAAAACCATTTACCTTAGAAAAGTATTTAACATGGTTTTGTATAAGGTATGAGATGTCTCCTTGATATTAATGTTGGACCTTTTGAATGTAATAAAATTGTTTGTCTTGTGCAGGATGCGTCCCCCCCAGGACCCTCTCCCTCTTCGGCAGGGGTGATGGTGCCCCCCAAAGTGGCGTCCATTACCTCTGAGCTGCTGGCCCACGCCAAAGTGCAGCTTCCCCTCAATATGTGAGTAGACCCCCACCTCATTCAGACCATGCCCTTGTACTTTGGTTGCAGAATAAATCACAATCAAATCTAACTTTATATAATTTAGCAATAATTCAGTGCTAATGTTTTTTATTTACAATTTCAAATGCCCAACTTCTTAACCTGAATATTCTATCTCCATTAACTTTACTGTACATTGTCCATCTTTATAATGAAGTTACAAGCCGTATGAAACAGCTGCCTGATCATTTTTAGATTGTGTTCACTCAACAAGATGGCCGCTGTCTTAAATAGATCAAGCCCACGTGAAACATAAACAAAGTGAATTAAATCTTGTTGAAAACCAAACCTTACAAGCGATTTCCAGATGGCCAATCCAGTGCCAGCACTGAGCCAGACTGTTTCATAATTCACCTTGTAATTAATCGAGAAGGTCAATCAAGGTGGTTGTGTTTGCCTTTGCCAAGACAAGGACAACTTTTTTGGGAGGTACATTGGGTCACAGGGTTTTTAAAAATAGTTACAAGCAAAGAGTTTACCAACGGAAGCTTTGCAACTGTTCTGCTGATGAAATTGTTAGAACACATGTTAAAAAGTAGTAAAAGTAAAAGTGATTTGGTTTTTAAGATAAGATAAGATAGACTTTATTGATCTCACACTGGAGAAATGTACATGTCACTCTGGCATAAATAGAATCACTCAGATTGAGCAAAAGTCAAAGGCAAAAATACAGTCTGTTCAGGATATATTATGTACAATAAAAAGTGGCAATTTAAGAAACAGTGGCAAAAGTTGGGCAGGTTCAGGCCTAGTGTATGGCTTAAAGTGACTTATTGTACAGTCTACATGTCTCTTGTTGGGAGATTATACAGAGCTCAGACACTAAAGCTTGAACTCTCCATCAAAAAAATCAAATTGATATATTTTATGATTGAAAATGAATCCCTAGTGGTTTACATTGTTTTATTCATTCACTCTGCACATGGTGTGAACCTACTACTACCAATCAGCACCATCGTCTCACCATCACCAATCTCAGCACACAGCAAGTTGTTTAAGGATTGAGAAAGCTTATTTGTAGGCACCTGGTACTCGCTGTATTATTCCATTTACTTTATTACTTATTACTGCTTAGGTTTTTGTTTGAACAAGAGTAGACTTTGACAAGTTTAGCCACAACAAAGAAGAGCCAATTCTCCTTTTTCTCTCCTCTTTACAACATTGTCTTGCACATCTATCTTATCTTTCCTAAAATGCCGGGTGTGAGTCTTGTTTATTCTTGACTGAAGCTTTGACTCCAGGTTATGAGAAAAACACTGCACATTGTCAGTTTTAATAATATCAAAGCGTAAACACAAACACCCGCACACCGTGAATACCAGCACATGTCCTGAGCTGGTTCCGCGCTCCTGATGAGGTCGGATGATTCCATCTTGACCTGGCAACTGTTTCTGTTGCCATGGGGAAACGGGAGGAGGGTCCCCGCATCTGTTACCAAGGCGACGGGGAAAGAGAGAGAGAGAGCAACAGAGTGGGAGAGAGGAATATATAAGAGGTGTTTACACTGTGGTCTTATCGTCCTCTCTCTCAGCGCGAGCACCATCACACACAACACAAAATGAGATGTGGAGAAAAAACTCATTTATATGTTAACACGTTGGAAATACTAAACATTGCGCTGGCCATGCTCACTTGCCTCCCAGGTTAAGATGCTTAACGTCTCATCTATCAACTTGGCTGCGAAACTGGGACATATTGATTAGGCATGACTTCATAGCAAAGCATTGCGTTTGAGAAGGAAAGAAAAAAAAAACATTCATCTTCATGTGGCAGCGTTCGTTGCTTGAAGAAAAATCACTTGAGGTCTCGGTTATGATTGCAATAGAAACAGGAACTCCCAAGCCACATTTCCAATAAAATACTGCAGTTTTGTCAGGATGCAATTGTCATTTTTCATCGGTTAGAGTCGCTCATTGTGCGCTGTGATTTGGGATTTGCATAAAGGTGGTATTGAGGTTAAGTCTCTCATAGCTGCTGCCAATCAAAACCACCCAAAACATGTCAGTCAAAACTATTGTAAAGTACATATCAGACATAACATCATCAGCAGTGGAAGAGGAAAAAGTGTAGTTAATTGTGAGTTTGACCAAGTTTTACGTTGGCCAACATACAATATTTGGGTTGGCAAAGAGTTCAGATAAACCAATTCAAAAACTAGAGTAGAATCAATTCAGAAACAGATAAGTATCAGTGTTAATAATGCAAATATTGACTTTGTCTTGGGAATTACCTCATGTCCATCTGGCTAATATTAAAGCTGAAAACAACTTCCAACTTTTATGATTGAGGAATTGTTTGAGTATGGTTAAAGCTGGGGTACCTAATTTTCAAACAATAAATCGGAATGACAAATGACTTTCTCACCAGCTACATTAGCACGATTAACAACATTTTTCAATCAAAACAAAATCAACGACTTTTGAATTCCAGAGGCTCAGAGCTTTTTTGTGTTCATAATTTCAAAGACTACTTAGGGATTGCAAGGTAGAAGGCCAAATACAATTACCCAGAGGGCCACAATTGTCCTCAGGGCCTGAGTTTACAGGACATGCCTTGTAGAACATGACAGTTACCTTTATTCAAAGTTAGAAGAAAACGTTTGTGGCTGATTAGTTCAGAGGACGACCGTGGTCATCCTGCTGCCCTCAGTCCTGCTCCTGCTCCTGCCCCTGCTGCGCTCAGACCTACAACAATATCTCCATGATCCACTTCAGCATCATGGGTGAAGGATGTTAGAAAAGTGTATCAAGAGTGTAGGGGTTTGACCACTGTAATGTTATCCAAAAATCTAGATGAACAGCTGATTCTGTTATTCACTTTAGTTTTTTAACAGTATACGCTATTTCTAAGCTGCACGACTGCGGCTGAAGTGTTCCCTTATAGACGGTGCCTATTGCTTTAGTTTTTACTTTGTAGTATTTAGATCAATATGTTTGTATCTGAAAGTTGACGTTCTATCATAGTTGCCCTGTACTCTACTAGACATTGTGGTTTGACGATGAATCACTTTGAGAGCGCGGCTGTACACTAGACAGCTCTTATCTCTGCTTTTACACACACTATGGGGCTTTCATCCTCTGATCCGCTGCACTGTACACTCTCCAAACAAGACCCTTTTTTTTGTAAAAACGGCTGTAAACATCACACGCTCCAGTGTTTTGATTGGTCCTTCTGCCTTCAGATACTTGGCCCTCTACGCCTACAAACCCCAGAAGGCTGATGAGCTGGAGCTGAGGAAAGGTGAAATGTATCGCGTCACAGAGAAGTGTCAAGACGGATGGTTCAAAGGCACCTCGCTCCGAACCGCAGGATCTGGAGTGTTTCCTGGGAACTATGTGACGCCAGTGTCCAGGTGAGGAGAAGAAACGCTCCAACAAAAGATGAACAAAAGAGATGTATTGATCAGCCAATCAGACGCTGTATTCAGGGCCAGCTTTACTCCTGCACTGTGTTGTTTCACCTGCAATGTCGTCATTTACCCAGCGTTGTCTGGAAGGTGAGCAAGCTGCTGCCGTTTTAGTTTTGGGTATAATAGTTTTCACTGGGAAGGCAAACGTAACAGAAAATAACTTATTTGTTTGTGCACATGATCAGTGAAAATAATAACTCTCTTTACTTCAGAGAGTTTTCTTTTTTTAGAGAATTATTTGTGTTCCAGCTGAAATGAAAAACCCAATAAAATGTAAGTTTTGTGTTCATGCAAAATGAAGCAAAAAGGACATAGTCAGAAAAATGTAACGGCCACACGATGGTCCTGGGTTCAACTCCCAGTCAGTAGCATTACTGTGTTCTTCCTGTGTCTGGGTTTGCGGTCCACTTCCGCTAACATTACAATAGCCCCACACTCACGGGTTATCAATCTCCAACTCAAAGTCTGAGCTTACCTTCCCTTGAAAAAGTTGTTTGGATTAAGGACGAAACGTTTTTGGAAAACCTGCGAAGTACAGATGATGGGTGAGCAACCTTTCTTTGCTATAGTTAATTATAGTTATAGTTATTAGGGCCGCCATCATCTTAACTGTTGAAAGACTCAAACATATCGTCGTTAATGGGTTTGATTTCTGTGTCCTCACCAACTCAGACTGACAGGTCTTTGTTGACACAGACACAGGAGAAAATGGCACTGGCTCTAACTATTGAACAGACCTCAGGCCATTTTCCCTCCATTCACGATCATTGATATCAGGGACGCTGCCAGAGCACAACTGATATCCCTCTAATGCCATCGACACTGCAGAACACGTGTGTATCTGTAATTCAGATTATAGTCCAATGAATTAAACATCCGCAATCACGAGAACAGCTTAAAGTAGCAATATGTAAGATTTTTATGTCAAGTCATCATTAAAGGGCCCTAATCTGTCAAAAGGCATTAATAATCCAATGCTCTTTTCAAATATTCTTTAACTGATACCAGTAGTTCAGAGATATTTGGAGTAGCTTGTTATTGTTTTCATTTCCATATCCCGCCCTCCATCATTTCACCAATCAGAAAGTCTGTGGTCCGGGCGACAGAACTCACCGCGCCGAGCTAATCTCACTGGTGAAGTACCATGTGGCCGCAGAACTAAAAAAGGTCTCGTTATAGTTCTCAAATCATTGATGACAAAACAAGGATTTCTATCGGGGCCTTTGAGAAAAAGGTGTTGGTTTTAGATTTGTTGTTGACAAAACTCTTGTCTATTCAGCTGTTATGGTCCCAGCTGGATTCGTCTGCATATCTGGCAACCTGAGTCAGGGAGAGTGGGAGAGGCTGCAGTACCACTTTTGGCCAGATTTTGACATACTGCTCCATTAACTCAAAAAGAAAACCGATGCCTGATCCAACCAATTCAAAACTGCTCTAATGGTGCACAGTTGAGTTATTCTAAAATGTTCAACACGATCTAAAATGTCTGCATTGATAACGTGTCTCTGCCTCTGGAACTTTTCCATTACGCACACTACACGTCCTTTATATTCATGCGGTTGAAGTAGAGTGCATTTCATTTCACTTTAAATTACCATGAATGCATTTGAAGCTAGAAATAATGTCACCACCGCCCTGGCCTTTTTATATATTTCTCATAATGTCTGCCTCCGTCTTTTTGCTCTCATTCTAATGCATTTCCCAAAAAAGGTTCACACATAGCTGAAAGAACTGCAGCACACTTCCACTATTGTGTTGTCATGTTGTGGTGCAGTGTAAACACAACTATCCTGACAGTGTTGTATCCATTGCATTATGTATTCTCCTAGTTTCTCCAAGCACTCTCCTCTCCACTCCACGGTCCAACTGATTCCACCGCTGGCCATCACAAGGATCAAAATAATGTGTTTTTATCAGCGGCTTTTCACCGCGGGAGACAAATGCTTCCCTCCTGAGCGTCCTAGAACAAAACAGACCCCTAAGGATATGTCTTCACACAACATTGTTTCCACTCAAGCTTGTGTGTTAAAGGAATAGTTCACCGTTTGTACATACTGACATATGTTCTTACCTTACCTTAGACTAGTTAATACGTACCTGTCTGGTCTTAGTCCGTGCGCTCTGTCATGCAAACGGAGCAAAAACGGGAGCACAACCGCAGCCTCCTCTGTATATTTTGTAGCACCAAAAGGTAGCTCCCGCTAGAAGCTACCGAACTCTTCCAAGTGTTCCCTATTAAATGTATATAGTTACGTGACGTGTTACACTGCAAAGTATAGTAACACAGAAATGTAACAGTCGATTTTCTCAGCGGATAAAACGGGTACTATATTGTGAGGCGTAGTAATCTGAGGTGCGCTACGTCCGCGCACTAACTTCTCTCCGGAGACTTCTCTCTCGCTCACTTCCGTCAATAGAAGCAGCGTGACTTGTAATACACACAGTAGCAGCGAGAGAGAAGTCTCCGGAGAGAAGTTAGTGCGCAGAGAAGTTAGGAGCGCTACGTCCGCACACTAACTTCTCTCCAGAGACTTCTCTCTCGCTGCTACTGTGTGTATTACAAGTCACGCTGCTTCTATTGACGGAAGTGAGCGAGAGAGAAGTCTCCGGAGAGAAGTTAGTGCGCGGACGTAGCGCACCTCAGATTACTACGCCTCACAATATAGTACCCGTTTTATCCGCTGAGAAAATCGACTGTTACATTTCTGTGTTACTATACTTTGCAGTGTAACACGTCACGTAACTATATACATTTAATAGGGAACACTTGGAAGAGTTCGGTAGCTTCTAGCGGGAGCTACCTTTTGGTGCTACAAAATATACAGAGGAGGCTGCGGTTGTGCTCCCGTTTTTGCTCCGTTTGCATGACAGAGCGCACGGACTAATGGTGCGTTCAGACCAAACGCGATTTCTGCGGCCAAATCGCGTATATCGCGCGGCTTGAGCCGCTTGTGACAAATTGTGACAGCCGCTGTCACAGAGAAACTTGGCCGCGCGGCCAGGACACTAGAGGGCAGCCGCTGTCACAGAGCGTTGAGAGCGTTTAGGGGCGGGGCTTGTCTCTTTTGCCTGTAGCTTCCCAAAATGGATGTCAGCGAAGGAGTTGCTTGGCTCTATCTAATAAATAAAGCCAGACAGCGTCGTCAAAGGGCGAATCGACGACGTGTCTGGATTCACCAGATAGTCCGTAGACGGTTGGAGTTTGGTGAGTTTCACCATTTGCTCCGGGAGCTGCGCTCGGATGAGGGTCGCTTTCAGCGGTACTTTCGTCTCTCCCTGGCCCAGTTTGACGACCTACTGACCCGCATTGGCGCAAGGATCTCCTACCAGGACACCAACTACAGGCGCTCTATTCCAGCTGAAGAGCGCCTGTCCATCTGTCTGCGGTTAGTGTTTTTTACCCCATTCTACCTATTCTACCTATTCTATTCACCTGTATACCTTCTGTTTCTAGGTAATGACTGCCAGACTCCACTGCGACTCCACTCCAACTTCAGGTTAATCATATGCACATTCAAGCTTTTCCATAATTACAAGGTTGTTAAAACAGTAAAAGGTGAAATGAATAAAAAATACTGTCAACTACTGTATCGCTCTTTAAGTGTTCGTTATTCCATCTTCTATAAAACCCAGTCAGCTCTTATAAAAGTAAATGTACAAATATAGAATAGCATTTTCTGTCAATATTATATGAAAGGTAGTAATGGTTGGCTTGAAGTAGAACACATGAGGTTTGAAAAATATTTTCTTTATAAAAAAAGGAACAAACAATGAAAAATAAATGAAATGTACATATAAACAAATGAAAAGGAGCTTGCTTGGAGGAGGTGCGGTGGAAGAGGAAAGGGACACATGTCTGTTTCCTCCCCTGCAAAAGGTGTCACCTTAGGTAAAAAAAAACTGTACTGGCCAATGGTTCCAAATTAAGCAGAACGGTGCTGCTTTCATATAAAAGTTGGTACATTTTGAATTTCACAAATTCTTTTGACTCTGGTGCCACCCTTTGCAGGAGAGGAAAGAGAGAGAGCAGGAACTGATGGTCTTCTGAGTAGTCGGGCGGTCCGGCTGCTTTGGTCCGTAGAGTCTCCAGCAGCTCCCGCTCCCACTCTGAAGGCCCACCAAGGAAGAGGGCTCGGAAGAGGCCCACGTCCGTAGAGCCAACAAAGAACACAGGGCAATCACAGTGTTAAAAAGTGGAACATGTATTTCAAAAAAGCAAAATGAAGAGAGCAAATAATATCTGTATTAAAGCCAGAGTGTGTAGACATAGTTAAACACATGTAAAACACTTTTAAGTTGTGTGTTTGTTACAATTAACTTGAACATTGCAGTTATCAATGAAATTACTCACACAAGCACAAATTTCGACAGTTACAAACTAATATCTCTGAAGTGTATTTCGCAATGAAATTTGAAATTGGCTGTAAAAAAGTAATACTCTATTGTCTGCATTAAACAGGATAGCTGCCATCTTGTGGCAACCATTGCATGTATTTGTTCAGTACTTTTATAGCATAAGGTATTTCAGTAGTATGTTTTTATCGAAGAAAGAGGGAAGATGTGTTGTATCAGACCAAAGCTTCTTTCCACCTGTAGTGCCTTGACATCTTGGTGTTTCTCTGTAAATTTGTCGTCTACACTGATGTAACAGCCCTTGGGTAATTTTGGCATATTATGCAGTAACATTTTGTTTATATGAACAGTCCTGTAAAAAGAATAAAAATAAAACAATGATTAAAAAAAGCCACACCTGTAGGTGCAGAAGCAGGGGAAGGTCCAGCCCTCACAGAAGAAGAACCGGCTGAGGAAGCAGCAGCAGCAGCAGCAGCAGCAGGCAGCTCAGGCCAAGATGTCTCACCTTGTGTGGTGGTGGCAGTGTCTGTGCCAGAAGAAAACAAGAAATACAATTATTTCATATCATGTGTACATTGCGCTTATGACAT